CTCTCCAAGCAGGTACCAGAAAAAAGACATTCAATAGCAAATTTTATGAGAGAAGGATAAAAACCAGGTAGTTCAACAGTTCCTGAAATCCCAGTGGTGGTCAATAAATCGACTTGTGCTTCACATTATATGAAGAGGCTGTACTTAGCAAATCACTGTGTAAGCTGCCTCAATAACAGCACTCCTGCTATCAAGTTTACTTGCAATGAGTCCAACAAAGAAATTAATTTCTTAGATGACAAGAAAAGGTTATCTAGAATGGGGAAAACACAGGAGACAAAGATTTCCACTAATAAAACAAATATCAGACTCTGAGCTGAATTTGAAGCTATCTTTTTTTCCTCTGAAAGGTTTTAAATCCCTGTAGCCCAAACACTAGAGCTACAAAGAAAACATCCTACAACCTGCCCTGCTAAAAACAGAAGAAGAGCAGAATGAGCCAGAGCTCTTTTCAGTACGTGAGTTACTCCCTCAGCCACATGCACGCTGCTCCTCGGGCAAGGCCCAGAATGAGGAAATGTACTGCAACCCAAGTTCCAGACTTAAAAGCAAACCTCACTTTGAGCTACTAGTTGATTTACTGTCCAAAAACTTCAGTACAATATAATTTCAGAATTCAGGACATGCCCTTTTCACAAGTACAAAGGTGTTTCTCATGACTCCGAAAAGTAACAAAACACACACCTTCCTAGTCTGATCTTACTGACTTTATTGATCTGTTTATTCCCAAGAGATAGTCCCATCTTATTTTCCAATTATCAATTTTTTCATAAATATTTCTACAAACAGGCACAACTTTCCTCTATGCCCCCCTTTTTTCTTCTCACTATAATACACAGCCTTCAGTTATTGCTCTCATTTCATTCTCTTCACACTTTTCTATGCACATCAAGTGAGCAAACTGACCTGGTTTATCCACATGCCCACAGGAAGTCAGCCACAAACATGAGACACAGAGGTTTGATTTCGAAAAAGTCATTATAAAAAAAAAAAAAAGCAGATTCCCTGTTTCTGCTGCCCAAAGATATGCTCCCACCAGTTCTTATAGCAATTCAATCCATCTGACATCCAAGAACTCTATGATCACATCACACAACTGGCCTCTATGCTGAATGGCTTGGCAGCAATACTGCACCCCCAGGACCAATTTCTATAGATTTGGGGTTAGTTGTAAAAGTTTGTTGAATTTCCCTATTTCATGGCTGCAAAGATTAACATCAAATTTTAATCAATTATAAGCCAAAGCCATGTAGTTCACCTGAAATAATAACCCGAAGAGATTTAGACCCTCAGCTTCTGTCCCACCTTGATCTAATCCTGGCTGCCCAAACCAGTGACAAAGGCCTTCCAGGTCACAGTCACCCGTTTAGTGCCATCGCCAGCAGTTGAGCAGGGGACCTCTAGGAACCACCATCCTGAGAGGGGATTCCTGCAAGCTGAAGTCCCACGGGAAACCATGACTCTGCTAGGACATTTATAACTGGAGTGAGTGGCTTGAACTAGGTCAGATGGGAAAGGGTTAAGATCTAGGTTTCGATTTCCATGGTGATTAGAAGAAAGAGCTTGTCTGAGGAGCTGTTTGGACCATTAATGCTCCTTTTTAGTATCCTTTGGAAAACACAGGCTATTTGAGAGGGCAGAGGGAAACAATAAGAGGTTGTGTTTTTCTTAAATCTGGTGACTTGAGTAGCTATAATCTTGTCTATGTGACACTGATCTCAAAGCAACAAAATAGCCAATACAAGACCCGGGCTAGAACAAAATGGAGAGGATAATATAACATTAACGACATAAGTTTACAGAAAATATATTCTTGCACTAGCATGATTTTTAATTAAAAGTTTATTGCTAATTAATAGCACAGATATAGCAGGTTTTTGTAAGGCAGTTGACTTGATGCAAAATGACATTTGATTAAGAAACTCAAAATCAACATGACACATCAAGTGGGCTAGAGACTGATAGGCCCCAGAATGTAATTGCAGATGAGGCCAAACACTAAATAAATGTTTCCAGCTTATATCAATTAAATATCAACACAAAAGAGAACGGTTTCTTTTATCCCACCCTCAAGAGATGACCTTATGTTATGCAGCAGTTTTGTCTGTACTCTGGAAAAAAGCACAAGATGATTACTGAACAAATTTACAGATTAGAGTCATGAAAACAAGGATCAGTGGTAGAAAGCCATTTAGTTTGCCAGGTAAAGAAGAGTGGAGAAAAGATCACTGTTTTTAATATAGCTAAATGTAAGAAAACATGCCTAAGCCCCACTTCCAGGCTGGCAGCCTCTCTTGAAAGCAGGTAATCTAAAAGGTCACTGTAGAAAAACATTTGTAGGGAGCTTCAGGGAGATACTGTGGGTAAATAGGATCATGGAGATAATTTTGCTTTCAAATTTCCTCCAAAGCTAAAACTACACAAGCGAGGCTTTGGAAAATAGTCGACAGCAGCTGGTGACAGAAACTCACACATTAGAAAAGCAAAACCAACACCTCCCCTTGGAAGCTGCCAAAAGTTTGATTGAAACAGAGGTAAGAAAGCATTTGGGCATCTCATGTGTTCCTTGAAGGTCAAATTGGACAAAACTCAGGTATATGAGAGACAATTAGGAAGGAAATATGATGGATGGCAAGTCTACTGACAGGTCTCTGAGGAACATCCTCATGTGCCAATAACAAACATTCAAGCTCTCCTGCTTCTTCCTTTCATACCTTGTCTTTGCAGATCATGCAGAGCATTAATATTTCTTTTTCCTGAAGGAACTCTCATATCTTGAAAAGCTAAACTTAAAGGGAGCTACTCACACCTGGTGCAACTAAACATTTTGCTTTCTTCAGCAATGAAATCCCACTACACGTCACAGCTTTTTTCTGAGGTGTAGAAATGCCAGGTAATGCTGTGATCTCACTCACCTGTTACAAAACCTCTTAGCAAGCACCTGAGATCCCCCCAGCCACTGAGAGTCCCACAACAGGACTTGACACATACCAAATGTGCCCAGAACATCTGCTGCTTTGTTCTGACCATAAATATATAGAAAGGAGAGGAAGAAAAAGCCTGCAGAACAATTTATTCCGGATCTCTTTACACCAAAACTCACACATCACGCTCCTTTGGTAATCCCTCCCCCTTTATATAAAGTTGTATTTAGATCATCACACGCAGCTGAACGACTCAAAGCCTGAAACATGAAAGCTCAAGGAACATAAGAAGTGCATGAGGACACGTAAGGAGCACGACAGAGCTGAGGAATTACAGCCCTACCTCCCGATTCCCAGCCTGGGGTTCCTGGGTTCCCACCTGTCAGCCACAGCCGTGTGGAACAGCCCAGCTGTGATTCTGGCCTCGACCAAGCCAGGTACAACACCTCTTCAGCAGCTGTGATTAATCAAGAGCTCTAACACAAGCTCTTTTAACCACACATAGGGGAAATTTCTGCCACAAGAAGTATTACACTACAGAACCAGCTTAGACAGCTCCAAGCCAAAGTTTCTCCCAGCAGAGCCCACCTGTCCACAAGCCAGGACCCAGCTGCAGTGGAGACATTTGTGGTTTCCCTACCTGCCACCTGCCTGCCTCCACCATCAATGTACAGCTTCAAAGGGACACTCAAAAGAAAGCTGAAGGGACAGAGAGGAATCAATGGCAAAACAAAACCAAAAAGCTTTCAAGTGTTTTGGGACTCTAGAAATGAGGGGGTTGTATTTTTAGCCTGCATACAGGCAGCTCAAGGTGCTTTTCTTTGTCCCCATGACAGTAGGTAAGTGAATACACCTGCCTTGCCTCACTCCCTGCTGATGGTAAACACGAGGTCTTGCATTCAGGTTACAACATGGAGTTACTTCAGAGCAGCCCTGTGCCAAAATAGCACATTTCTGAGGGATGCAAAGGTATTCAATAAAAAGCTTTTAAAGGCATATTTTTAAACTTGCAGCAGGAAAGCTTTTCTGTGTCAAGACAGTAATTCTTTTAGCAGCATTGATCAAAATGTCATTCTTTTATGAGTGTACAATACCTTTTAATGGCATACAACAAGCCATTAGGGTTCTACACCTCCGTGCAGCACACAGCTTACTGGAAAATCAGGAACACTGGCCAAGAGACAGCCACTGGGTTTTATGCCTGTATAAAGGCAGAGTTTCTTCCATTCTCCCCAGCTCTGCTACAATCAAATACATACGAGTGAAGTGACCCAAAAATTAAGCCAAACTTCTCATCACTTCTACAAGAGCTATTTTCCCACACATTTCCCCCAAGAAATACCTCTCATAAACACAACAAATATTCTGGCTTTCCAAAGTGGGATTCTATCACCAGGATCTGATCTGGCTCTTTGTTTTCCACACCAACGATCACACTTACCTCAAATCAGCACTGACTGAGGAATGAGAGGGGGATGAATTGCACAAAATGGGTTTGATTTTCAGAAATGGGAAGAAGTGCCACCTGCCCTTTGCTAACACTGAGGCCTGGTCAGAATCCATCTACAAATCATCCAATTCTTTTCAAGTGCTCCAACCCTTCAAAGGGTGACAGCACTGGTGATTGCATTTGCTCTGCTTGAATGGAAGACCAGCATGGGCTTTCTGGATGCATTCAGCACTTTACAGCCTGATTTTAGTTACAAATATCAACAGGAAAGGGAATGCTTTCTGTCAACCTACCTTCAAGGCTTTTCCCATCAAGGATAAGAGAATGTTTATGGGATTTAATCATTACTGTTAACTGAGCAGTGGCAGCAGCAAAAGAGCTTTATTTCACTATCTGAAATTCTAAGGAATAATAGCAAAGTCTTCTCAGCTACTTCTGAAAGTGTAAAGCCATCAGTATAAACAGATAAAACAACAATTCCAATAAAACATAAGGTAAAATTGTAAATCAAAGACAGGAAAACTGACTAGAAAGAGGAGACAGAAAAAAATTGAGGTTCTAAAATCAAAAGCTGGAGTGAAATTAATTACAGTTAAGAAAAGTTTAAGGGGCTGCTTGTCTCTTACCTGTTCAGAAGCACCCTTGTCCCTCTGACTTCCAGTTATGAGATACTGCAGTGAGTCTCCTCAGTCACATCTAGAATTTCAAATCAAAGAGAATTTTTTAATTTCCCATAATTTTTATAAGCATACATAAATTCAACTCAAACAATACAATTTATGCTCCAGAAGATGCCATTGTCTCAGTCAGAACATCAAAAAGTCAACGGTGCTCACATTTCCCCTGCACTCGTTATTAAACATACAGTCAGACACAGAGAGGTCACGCCCCGAGACCAGAGCTGTGCCACATGGTCCAACCGATAACCCAGGCCAAAACTGGTCAGAATCAGAATTTCATAGTTATCAGGGAATGATTTCTCACTATCACCTACCAGAGAGTTCAGAGTTGCTTCTTTGTTGTTGCAGTCAAAAGAGTAAATACACATTCAAGCACACGTTCGGGGATTTTTAAACAAACAGATGATTTCTAGGTTACCTGAAGTATGACAACTAAGAAAACCTGGATTTTGTGGTAGCAACTCATTTCTCATTGACCTACACTAAATTCTGTGCGATAAATGCTCTGGCACCATGGGAGAGCTGTTCCTGTCTTTTCTCGCCTAGAGCTCGATTCAGTAAAAGCAACTCCCTATTTCTCTCTCTCTCATCAGTGATGTAGAAATAAACTCAGGTTTTGAAATAAGGAGGTCAAACAGGACCAACGTAAACAGGAACTCGACACATTGAGCACTTCAGCTTCTATCAGCTCAATTTTCACTTTAAATCTCCATCCCTGAAGGCTTTTAATAACAGGTTTGGAATAGTTTGTCAGATAGATGCATTTCATCCCCCTTTTCAGCAAGGAATCAGACCGGATGATGTATCCCAAAGCTTTTGCAGAATAACCTGCCTAGAGAAAGTTTTGCACCCAGGTGTTAAACCCAATGACCACTGTGACGATCCCCACAGTGGCTTGCTGAGCTTTGCCTCGCAGCCCACCACTCTTCCCTACAAAGACTTCAGGGAACTGCTTGGACATATGGGATCCTCCCGAGCACTAACCTGGTCCGCAGTTTGGCAAGTGCCCGTTTTTTTCAGGACCCTGCAACGCGGAGCCTGTCCCATCACTTCTCCCGGAACGGCAACGGAGGAGCCGGCGGGAGCGCGGCCTGTCCTGGATTGGGAGTGGACGGCACGGGAGAGGAGCTCTGCCTCCCCCCGCCCTCCCGGGACAGGAGGGATGTCGGGGGTAGCGGGAGGCAGAGCGGGAGCCTGGGATGCACGAGGGGCACAGCGCGCCTGCCGCCAGCGTGGGGGGTTCCCTCGGGCCTCGCGGCACCCGGAGCCGGAGCCCGCAGAAGTGGCGGTGACCGGAGAACCCGAGCCCCTCCCGCCGTTCGAACGCGCCCGCCAGCCCGTCCTCCCGCCCCGCCCCGTATTGACCGTGCCCTCGTCCAATCCTGAGGCGAGAGAGACAAAACCCCGCCCCCAAAAGGACCAATCAACACTCGCCAAGGGCGGGGGCGGGGCCACCTGCGCACGCGGAAGGCCTCACGAGCCCCTTGGTCTCTGAAGACGTTGATGGACGTAAGAATGACCCAATAGAAGCTCAGCCTCCCGCCCGTGCGTGGCGCCAATTGGCCATCCCGCCCAGAGAGAGGAGGCGCGTTGCCATGGGGACGAGCGGGCGCCGCTGGACAGGCCGGGGACCCCCCGGGCCCCGCGCCAGACCCGGCTCGGCCCGGCCCGCTGTGCGTTCGGCATCTCCGGACCCCACCAGCGGTGCTGCTCCCGGCCAACCCCGCAGAGCGAGGCTCCTGTCCTCTGTCACGCAGAGAAGCCACTCGGTGATTCCACAATGGTTTGGGGGGCTCGGGTCGAATATCACTGTCCTGCGCTGTCCCTCAGCGCAGCCCCAGGCCCTGCTTCCATCGCCTCGCGTTCCAGTCACAGCTGTAACCCCGCCAAAGCCATCGAAGCTAGACCCTGATTTATGTGTGTTACAAGCCGCTGAAGGAGTTGCTGCTGCCTTTGAGGCACACACACAGACCTGATTTGACACAGAGGAAGCCTCCAAACCCAGGAGATGCTGGAGATGGTTTGCCCTCCCGTGTAAGCAAAGCAGCCAGTTTGAGAAATAGAAAGGTTGTTGAAAGAGGTGTCATTAGCACAGGGAAAGCGTAAGCCAAGCTTTGGAGTTGGGAAACCTACATGACTCATACATCTGTTCATGAGACAATTTAGAAACCAAGTTGCTGTAGGCAAAAAAAAAAAAAGAAAAAAATTACAAATGCACAGACAAATGGTAAATCATAGTAGCAAGGAACTGCCTGGCTGCCCTGACACTCGATGGAGAAGCAGGGAGGGAACTGAGCTCACTGAAACCCTAAAGGTGTAAATAATGACAGGGAGCTGCTGTTTCTCACAGCCCTCACTCCTTGTTGGCAGGACGAAGTTCAGCTTGTCCAGGCCCTGCTCACAGTGATAGATCTGGGAAACAGTGCGAGGCAAAGCTCCAGGCTGTGATCTCCAGGAGGAAAACAGCACTGGAAATTCACTTCTCCCTTCTTGAAACTGGAGTGTGACCGCAGAGCAGGAGAATGCTTGGAACTTAGTCTGCTGTTTGGAGAGGATTGAAGTAAAACAAATATTTTTGTAATAAAAATTTAATATCCTTTTTTTGGGCTTTGTAATCAAAGCAGCTTTCTAAGCTATGCGCGCATGGACAGTAATCCTCCCCTAATCTCGCTCGCCTCAGGCATAGGAGATGCTTAGGAAATAACAAAGCACTGCCTACTACAGGAGAAACTTCTAATTTGTTTTTGTCTAGCTCAGCGTAAGGCCAAGCCCCAGGTGCAATGGACCATCACATGAAAAATGTAACAGAGCTCAAACATAAAATACTCTCGCAGCCATGTATATAGATCAAATACCAGATGGCATGAATGGGGTAACTGTGAGATGGTGTTGGGGATGGAAGTCCAGTTCCAGATTCTTTTACCAGAACAAGGTATCATTTAAATGTGTGAAATCCAGGGAGACAGCAAGAGAACCAGGGTTTTGTGGGGGCCAGAGCCCAGTTATGGTCACTGCTGGGCACATTACAACCATATTTCCTCAGAATTTCCACTACAATTCTTTCCCCATCTCTCATAACTTCGTAACAATTTTCTAACCAGAAACTTTTCTGTATTGAAAATATATTTAGACCTTTTTTCTCTTAGTATTCCTTCAGCTGAAATCTGCACGGGTAAAAAAAATTGAAATTAGGAGCAGCAGTGATCCACACCAGCATGTGCCTTTATGTAATTTGGCTTTGATTCACCACTCATAGGTGTATGAAATTAGGACTGTGTTTACTGAGCTTACACTTGAGGACATCTGCTGCTGGTTGATGTAGCTGATGCCTTCATTGGGGAAGATCCCTTTTTTTCCCTTTCAAGGACACATGAATTCCTCCAGTCTGCAGGAATGTACACCAGGTGTGCCTTGCTCCACTCTGCTGGTGTCAAAGCCCTGGTGTCTGAGCAGGGGTGTGAGGGACCCCGCAGAGGCCAACTCTGAGTTTATTTTATTATGGCTAATAGACTAAGACCCATCCTAGTTTGGAATCGAGCCAAGGCCTGAAACTGAAATTGCTTCCTTGTAAGCTGATTTGCTCCAGTCAGTGGATTGAGGGAAGAGTTCCCTTCTCATCCTGTTAGACCTGCCGTCTTGGCAATGTTAATAAAATAGACCCCAACCAAGGACCGGTGGCAGGATGCCAGGACAATGCATCAAAACTATCTTTCCTGGAGAGAATCATCCAGCAGGTTGTCAGCAGGAGCTGTGCCTCTACCAGCCTGCCAGGGACTCATCTGGAAGAGCCCTGCAGAACCACAGTGAGCTGCCAGATAGACGTGTGAGCCAGAAGCACAAACCCAGGTGCCCACAGCCATCAGCGACACACAGTGCTGGCTCTGTGCCATGAGGTGCATCACTCACTGTTACAGTGTCCCCTCACCAGGCACAACGATCCTGCAGGTGTGGAGACCTGCTGGTCCAACCTCAAGCGGGGCAGAGGTGGTGCTGACAGGCCATGAGAGGCACTCCAAGCCCTGACTGTCACTACTCGGTCAGCCAAGGTGGGAGGCAGAACGTCTTTGTACAGCCCCAGGGCTGTATCCAAGGCATGTGCTGGGAACCCTTGTTAAACCTGAGCCCTCCAAGAGCGGCTCCAGCAGCAAAGCTCCCCTTGCTCTGGAGCCAATGGAGTCTCTCCCACTGTGGCATGGCTGAGCCCAGAAGCCAGGCTGAGTAGCCACAGTGGCATCTGTGGCCAGGAGAGCAGGGAGGGAGGATGCAGAACTCCCAAGAGTGCTGGAGGAGTTGGAGAGAAAACTCTGGAGCTGGCTGCTCCCTTGTGCACACTCCATGGGCCTTCACTCCCCATTAAAGAGTGCTGGGTACACAAACTCACTGGTGGTGTTAATCCAGCTGTGGAAAGGATGCCTAGATGTGCTGGAGCTGAGCAGTCCCTTAAGAGGTTACAGGTGGAGCCCATTTGTGGCACCTGTGCTCACAGCTATGACAGCTTAGAATCACAGCATTATTAAGGTTGGAAAAGACCTTTAAGGTCACCAAGTCCAACTGTCAGTCCAGCACCACTATCATGTTCACCACTAAACCAAGTCCCCAAATGCCACATCCATATGTTTTTTGAACACTTCCATGGATGGTGATTCCACAGCTTCTCTGGGCAGACCGTGCCAGGGCTTTACAAGCCTTTCTGTGAAAAAAAATCCAACTGAACCTTCCCTGGCTCAACTTGAGGCCATTTCCTCTTTTCCTGTCACTTGTTAGCTGGGAGAAGAGACCAATCCCCACCTATCTCCAACCTGCTGTCAGGTAGCTGTAGAGAGCAAGAAGGTGCCCACTCCAGTGCTCTTGCATTTGGGATGAGATTAAAATTGTAATGTCAACCATTAAAATATTAAAATGATATTTTCATTTTCCTTCTGCTTCCTGGGGAGCAATGGCACATTGGAAGAAAGTTTGCTGTGATTCCTCTGAGGTGTGAGACAGTAACTAATTACTGGAGAAGATGAGATACAGTCCTGTGATTCCCTGGAATATCTGCTAAGCCTCGGGACAGTTTGTATATATTGAAACCCCTCCTCTACAAAGAAAAGATAAACAGACAGCGCTGGAGCAAGCAGCGGCTCTGGATAGTCACTGGTCTCAGAGTTAATCCAGAACCTGGTAAATAAAGCTGCAGACAGTTAATTAATTAGAGGAATAAAGCCCAGAAATAATATTTTGCAGTAGGATTAGTTCATCTAGAGGGTACCTGGTGAACTCATAGGAAGTGTGGGGAGGGAGGTAAAGAAGACACTAAATTGCCTTCAGCTCTTTAAATCATTTCTGCAGATCCTATTACAGAAGAGAAAGGGAAATGGCTGCAGAACAAATCATGGGAGTTCCTGTTTCCAGTGGTCTGACAGCCCCTCTAAAAGAGAGAGAGAAAAAGCCTGTGTGCACTGGAAGCAATAAAAGACACATTTGTTCCCCATTCATCACCGCGTCATCCTCGGGCGCGCACAGACACTGCCGAGCCCACTGGGGCGGGGGATTAGGACAGCCCCTGGCTCCGGAGTGTCTGCCCCGCTGCGCCCTGCGGCTGTTTTTGGGGTCATCCCTGCCTCTGCCCCAGCCTGGTGGGATGGACAGGATGGTGCCTGGTAGGCTCAGAGCAGGGGAGCAGGCACGGACCGTGGCATGGTCTGCCAGGGCACCTCTGATTCTAAACCCAGGCACCACAACTACACCCCCTGGGCACAAAAAAGGGAAGTCCCAAGGTACAGCATGCCCTCATCATCTCTCTGAAGGAGCAGCTGTGGCAGCTCAGGTGAGTGAGTGCACTCAGCCACCAGAGCTGCTGTGAGCTGACACAGTAATGAAAAGAAGGAATCAGTCATAGAATCACAGAATATGCTGAGTTAAACGGACTCATCAGGATCCCTGAGCCCAACTCCTGGCCCTGTGCGAGACACCTCCAGAATCACATCATGCGCCTGAAAGTGTTGTCCAAATGCCTATTGAGCTCTGTTAGCCTTGATGCTGTGACCACTTCCCTGAGGAGCCTGTTCCAGTGCCCAACCACCTTTTGAATGAAGAACCTTTTTCTAATATTCAGCCTAAACCTCCCCTGCCACAGCTCCAGCTGTTCCCTTGAGTCCTGTCATTGGTCACCGAGAGCGAGATCAGTGCCTGCTCCTCCTCAAGGTCAACTGGGAGTTGACCATTCCCACAGTCATAGTCCTCCAGTTCAGGGCACTGAGACCTCCTTGATCCGTCATCTGTGTTGAAGACAGAGGCAAAGAAAGCATTA